TATTATGTAATAAACTGATCTCCCAAGAATTATTTCTTGTTAATATAATCTTGCTTATTATAAAACGCAGGTTGTGTGTGTGTGTGTTTATATATTGGATTGGATTTCCCACATTTTTTAACTGATTTCAACAAAACTTCACAGGACTACGTAAAATTACCTTGTGGTGGTTCTGACAGCGCCAAAAATTGGAAAAACACAATTGTTTTTGCATAAAATCAATTTGAAAACACGATAAAACACGGTTCTGTCGCCAGAATGAAAGGGGGACAACTCATATCGAGTTATACTTATTATAAAACCCAGGTTGTTTGTGTGTGTGTTCGTTTATATTTGGGATCGGATTTCCTACATTTTTCAACCGATTTCAACAAAACTTCATTTTTTTTTTCTTTTTTGGCAGGTAGTGTTTCTTATTGTCTTGCACACTTTTTTCTTTATTTTTACATTCAGAATGCTTTAAAAATTCGATTGAAAACAATGTCTTTGTTTGAGTTTGGGTTTGCCCAATTCATAAAAAAAAACCCAAAAAAACTAATTAAAAAAACTAATTAAGACATGCATGTCCGTCAACCTTAAACAATAATCTTTGTCAATTTTATTTTTCAGTCTTTATGATGATCGATACTTGACCTATCTCTTACTGTTACATCCCCAGGCAACGCCGGGCTCTACTGCTAGTTATAAAATATATTTAAAAACTCATACATGAAAACCTAATAACAGTAAGGATTTAACAAAATAGCATTTTGATGGTATGGGTAAACTAGTCTTAAGATTCAATACTAGGTATAAAGTGGAGGATCGGTTTTCTATTTTATCAAGTAATAAACTGATCCATCCAGAGTTAGGTTTTTTTTTTTTTTTTTAATCATTTCACCCCAAGAAAGCTAATAAAGCCACTAAGATGCAAGGGGTTACTGAGATTAGAGAATATGAGAACTACTACTATTAAGGAGAGAGGAAAATAAAAGAACAAGAATTAAGAAAACAGAAGATAACGATTGATATTGCATTTAAATTTTTGAAGATCAAAGTTGACTGGAAAGCAAGAAACAGGAAGAGAGTTTCACAAGCAAGAAGTGCGATAGAAGAAACGCTTAGCATAGAACTTACATCTAGCCATTTCAACAGTAAAATAATGAGACCTTGCCACCAATCTAGTACTGCACTAAAATCCATAATCTACGTACTATAGAGGAAAGTATTTTGAAAATACAAAAATGTGGCTCAAGACCAAAAGTCAGATTGGGGGAAATCTGGTCTTTAATCTGTGTTATCTTAAACATAGCTAACCACAATTACTTACCTGAACATACCGCAGTATTCCTTACACCAAAACAACACATTCTTACTACAGTCACCATAATACCTCAAGTCTCTATGAAGTCCTAACTAGTTCCCATATGTACAATTTGTTAGAGAAAAGTTCATCAGAACAATTACCATGAACGTATTTATAAGAAAGGTACAGAAAAGCTATATTACAGTAGTTAGAAAGTGACTGAGGCCAAGATACCAGGTCAGGACCAATAACATTGTAAATTCTTCTTTGGATTTTATCAAGAATCTCTAAATATATAACAGAAGAATCAGACCTTATGTGGCAGCAATATTCAAAGCAAGGGTGAATGGTAGACTTCTAAATGCGTAAGATAGATTCTGGCAAGAAAGAATGTCTAGCACAACAGTGAACCAACTTTTTTAGCTGCAGACTTAGCAATTAATTCAATATACTCTTTCCACTTCCTGTCAGCTGAAAACTTTAGCCCAGGAAGGTGTAATGAGTCACTCTACTAGTGGTTAGCATCAGTCATGCTGATGGAAGGTAAAAAGAAGTTCTCTCAGATGACTAAAAAAAAAAAAAAAAGAGTTTTGTTTTTGAGGTGTTAAAATTAATAAGCCATTTTTTGCCTCATTTAACAACAGATTATAGATCATTTTTCAGATCAGCTGCCAATTTGAATTTATCAAATCGAACAAACTTACTATTAAGACTGAAGTAAATAGTTGCGTCATTAGCGTAGATACCGAGATGTCAGGAAGGTCCTTTATGAAAATTAGAAACAATGTAAGTCCAAGGATAAAATAATAATTGGAAAAATAGTATTTTAAATACTTACAAACCCAATAATAATCCAAACTTAAAAAAATATCAATCTCACATTTTCATTCACTAATAAAAAAAATAAAAAAAAAAAAAAAATAACATTCTTCATTCCAGTGAAGGATCTTTTTTTTTATTTGTTATCACTAATGAAATTTAGTATCGACAGTTACTTTAATTACTTAAGCTCTATTTTATATTATGAATGTTTATGTACATCTTAAAGCCAAAAAATTTGCAATAAAAGAAAACTTAAAATGTACAATACAAAAGCAAGTTAAATAATTCTAGAAAAAAAAAACAAAACAAAACAAAAAAACAAAAAACAATCCAGCCCAACAAATTCATGCAAGCATTCAGATGCTATGGGAAAAATTTTCATTTCTCTTGCAGAGCAAAAAAGATTTAATTGAATAGCAAATAATTAATATAAAGTGTGCATTAACATTTGTACAATTTACAAAAACCAAAAAAGTGAAACTCAAAGTAGAAGGTTATTGTTGTAAGAACATATAGGTAGGGACCTAGGGTCGTTTATTATGAGAATATATAAGGATAGATAACAGTTGACACTTGACTTAAAGAGGTTAAGATCATAGTGATTGGGAAAATATCCTCTAGGGAGTTTGACTAACAAAGTAAAATTTTGGAGAAGAAACATTCTGTGCAGAACTTCTTCAAAGGCAAAAGTGCATGTTATGAGGATATGTAGGCTAGATGGCAATTGACCCTAGACTTGAAGATGTTAACATTGCAGGAATGAAGAAGTTTATATTTTCTGTAATAATTTTGTGTAATTTTTTTTTTTAAATACTGAGAGTATAATTTTTAGAGAGTTCAATCTACCTTTCTATTTAATCCATCCATATATATATATATATATATATATATATATATACATACATATATATATATATATATATATATATATATATATATATATATATATATATATATATATATACACACACACACCTTTCATTAAATATGGCAGACAAGGAGGATTTAATTAACTTTTATTTAAATTTTCCAGCATCCTTGTGTTTTTCCATTTTGTAGGAGTAAAGGAGTAGAGAAATTTTCCATAATTTTCATTGTCCTAAACTCTTTTAGCCACTTCTTTAGCCATGTTTAAGGAGGTTTTGTTTTTCGCATTGTTATTTTTTTTCTCAAGCTTTGACTGTTTAAATTGTATTTTATTTTTGTGTTGTTTTTGAATAGGAGAATTTTTGTTTTTGTGTCAGCATTTCTTCCAAGCATTTACATGTTGAATGTGGCTGGAATTCGAATGAGCATCTTTGTATTTATAAAAAAACATTTTAGCTGTTTCTCCTGTTAATATTCTCAATCAATGTGGTTTCTGTTATTTGGTACAGTTTTTTCTTTGTGATTCTGTAGTGCCAGTCCAAAAGGTTCAAGAGAAGAATGGTCCTCTCTGAAACCTACAGGCTTATATACATACCTCAATCTACAGGGTATTTCAAAAGTCTGGCCACATAGGACATGTATTTAACAGATTTATTAATTAGTATTTATATTTTTTAGATCTTATCAGATTTATGTCAATTAAATTAATGACTAAGTTATGGGCTATAATAACCATCTTAGAACAATGTAGATACTAAACGGTAACAAAAGTTTGAAGCCATAAAAACAAATACTTTAGTGCTTAGTCATGAGAAAATTTATAGAAATAAACGTATGTTATTTTGAAGTAATAAACTAAAAGATAAGTGATGAATAAATAAAAATACTAGTGTTTTTGCTTCTTTTTCTTTTTTTTTTAAATACTTTTTCTTATGGGGCAAATTCTTGGACATCTTATATATAACTTCAATGGTGACTTCCAACATCTGAATAACATTTATAAAGCTATTGTAACAGAAAAAGACCTCATGGAAAAAACCTATATCTGTTCTACTGAGAAACTGTTCAGCAGCAGTGCTGTAATCATCAAATATCTTAACTTGGACAAATATAGAAGTGGTACCACCCTGTTAGGACATGTGGGAGAGGACCCCAAAAAGTATATATGTCTGATTATTGAATGGGGTCTTGTGGTTATAAAACACAAGCAGCATATTGCAGATTGTGCCATGAGGAGAAGCTGGTCCTAGACACTTTACCCGAGAAAATAAAAATGGCTGAACAAAAGGAGAAAAATCCTGAGTGACATGAGGAAGAAGTACACTACAGACCAAAAGTTTGGGGAGCAACCTCTGGATTTTGTAGAATTGACTAAAAATTGAAGATCAAGTGCCTTTTACAAAACTAATTTACTAGCTAACATTGAAAGAGACTTCCTCTCTTTGAAGAATTTTATCATTTATTGATAACAGAATTAACCCATTATTATATAAAGTTTTCTTAAAATTTTAGCTCTTTATGACTAATCTACTTTGCTGGCTAATCTTAGGGTTAGCTGATTTTAAATTTTAGATAAACTCCTCTGTAAAAACTGAACAGCATGTAATAAGGGTTAGTTTCAACATCCTAACATAGTAGGTGTTAATTAAAGCAAAAGTATGAAACTTACTAATTTTTAAATCCAGAGGATGGTGGCAAACTTTTGGCCTATAGCATATCTCTTGGCACATATGGCGCCAGATTGTCTTAAATAAAAGAGTATGTTAATATGGTGTGCTCCATGAAATATGCATTCTCAGGTTTCTATAAAAGAGTTAAGTTAATGCTTTTATTTTGTTCACTACTTGAGGATCTCCTGGGGATGAAACTATAGTAGTCAGTGAGTTAACACCATTTTAGTCTTTTACTTGCAATTTTTATGAGTGTTTGTATGTTGAGAATAAAAATAATATCTGGGGAAAAAAGAAGCAAAGCAGAAATAAAGAAATGCATGGGGTGAGAGTTTATGGAAGGGTAACAAAGGTACCTTGTCATCTAATTCATCTAACCGCTTCTGGGCTTCTTTCTTCTGGTTCTCAAGTTGATGAAGGGTGGCTGTGATGGCATCCAAATCTTTCTGCAAGGCTTGGACTTCACCATTCTTTATTTTGATATCAGCATCACGTTGGGACTTTTCTTTTTCCAGCTGAAGCTTTTCTCTGACAATAAAATAAAAAGCAAAAGAATTGTATACTGTTTGCCTTTTGATTGAAACAAAGAGACGTTATGTGTAAAGCTAAGCAAACGTTAACAGATTCCTCTCCATACTTTCCATTATGAAAAGTATATCAATAAACCTGAGGAAAAATTCAATTACATTTTTTTTCAACATTCCTTCCCTGTCAATAAATTTAATTCAGTGATAAATATTAACTATAGAAATTATAATCTGTAAAATATAATTTACAAATATTTGAATATCCATGAGTGTTTTTAGAAAAAAATTAAACAGATTTTATATATATATATATATATATATATATATATATATATATATATATATATTATAAATTAATTGATTTAAAATATGTTTTTTTCCGCTACTGTAAATTTTTAATGCTCTGTAAATTTACATTGAGCACTATTTTGTAAAAATATCTATAAGAACACCGGATTATATATCTTACTGTTCTTTTTTTTTATATATTTTATTATATATATATATATATATATATATATATATATATATATATATACACAACACACACACACACACACACCACAAACTTGCTTTCACAGCGCTTGACTCTCCATTTAAATGATAACTAACATTTTTAGACATTTAAAAAAACATGCCTGCCCGCGTACTCAATTCCAAAAAATCCTTGTTGACAACACAACTATACTTAAACATGAAAACAATAAACAAAAATTACAAATTCTTGAAGCTATATACATAAAACAGTTGAATCCTAACCTGAACAAAATAAACTACAAAATCTTCACAAATATTCTTAAATGCCTATAATTTATAACAGAAGCAAATTGGTTTATACCAATGGCTTCCCATACTTAATACTTCTCGTTTTTCACTCTCACGTGGTCATGTGTGACGTCACGAGCTGCAACGTGATTTTCGCTTCCGCGTCTCGTATATACGAGTTTATCGTTACTTGGAAATTTTCATGCAGCAAGGGTGGACTATCATTGCTGTTTTGTCTGTTGTTGTTTGATTTATTGAAATTGTCATCTTTGATAATGGATTGTGTAAGCCAAAAGCTTTGATTGGATTTAAACATGTATCAATATGGTGTTTTCCTTTCATCTTTCAACGATAATGTTATTAAGCTTATCAGGCAATATGAAAGGAATTTACTTAAAATAAATAAACAAAACTTGCCTATGTTATTTAATGAAACATGCATTAATATATAAGTTTTACCAAACTGTTATATAAAAATAAAGTGTCACTACCAACATTGGAGTTTGAACACAGATCACCAGAGAGCAACATAGGTGATCTCATTTTAACTAAGTAGATCATGTGATGGCAAAGGAAATGTATATGTGGGATGGCATTTAATGGATCACCATTTATATTCTATTCTCTATTACTATTCGGATCACTCTTTTTACACTATCCTCTATTACTATATGGATTGCTATTCTCTATACTGATCACTATATGGATTACTATTCGGTGGCTGTGAAGGTCCAGCTTACTAATTAAGAGAGTTTGAAGAGACAATTTGCTTGAACGGAGAAGCCCATTCACTTGGTCAGATGCACCTCCCTTGTGGCTCAAAAAGGAAAGGAGACAGGTAAAATCAGGCAAATCTGGTTGTATCGAACCGTCAGATGCTTGGTCTCTCAAAGTCCACTTTGGTTACACCAGCCCACCTTGCACTGCCCCTTCCGCCATTGGGGCCTTCATATGAGATAAGGATATATAAATTTTCATATATCAAGAACAATTTGGGGGGGGAAAAATGTATGACAAAGTTGAAAACGGTTTTCCAATTTGTCATACATCTCCCCACCCAAAATATATATTATTTTTTATGTTAAACCTAGGTAAGTCCTCTGTATCTCAGAAGGGTTTAAGTTGTGCTTACTCTAGAACCAATACCAGATGGCATGCCATTCCATTCAAATTAGCATCTGCATGTTATTCAATATGTATCACAGATTTTTTTTTTTCTCCAATGTAGCTCAGTTTCAATGTTTTTAGCCTTGATTTTCAATGCAGTCACTTTTCATCCATGCACCTAACTGTTCTTTTCTCTTCCACTGTTGTGCAACCTGGTATTTGAGTTCTGTTGTTCAATGTTTTCTATTTTATTATTATTATTTTAATAGCATGTATTCTTTGGGTTTCTAGAAAGCGACATGGCATCAAAAAATATCTACACTGGTAAATACATAAGATTTTCCATAATAACATTCTGAAAACATTTTCTTGATTATTTCACCCTAAGGAAGGCAATAAACTCACTAAGACAGAAGAGATTACCAAGGAAACGTTATTCAAGAAAGACAAAAACAGGATTCAGAGAGACAGTAGTGGGTGACTGACATTGAATTTAAATCTTTGAAGATCATAGTTGACAGGAAGATAAAAGAGCTGGAAAAGAGTTCCACTAGTGAGAAGTGCAAGGGAAACATCTATTAGGATAGAACTTAGGGCTATATCTCACAATTTCAATAATGAGATATACATGTGTGTGTGTGTGTGTGTGTGTGTATGTAAAATTTCCGATAAAACTAAAAATATATCGGTAAAAGCACAATATGAACCAAAGGAAAACGTTAGCTGCTGTATTTCGTTCTCTTCATCAAGACAAATGTAAGGATTTTGTTTTGGGAGGCACGGTGGAGTAATGGATAGTGGCTTGGATTGAGGAATCGGAGAGCCGAGTCCATTACATTCACTTACATGCTAACAGCCTTGGGAAAGGTATGAATCCTCCTCCTTCTCTCTCCAGCTATGGATAAATAGCAGGACAGACTGGGTTCTATAGCCTTGGATGGCAACTGATCTAGGAGAAGGAAAACTCTGAATTCAAACCTGCCCTTAGAGGAGGGTGAATGGAGTCTCTCTGAGCCTTGGTTGGCAATCCATTTAGTGTTGGTGTCACGATAAAAACACCCTTGATAGCCCTAGCGAAGCATCAAGAATTCAGCTATTTGACAAGATTATGAACTACACTAATCAAAGTATTGGTGAGTTCAATCTCGGCTGAGGCCGCAAGTCGATAAACAAAATTAAAAATGTTAGTTTTTTTTCAACTTTTACATTTGACTTGATAAAGTCTACCAGAGGACAAAACAAGTCAGCTGTTTTCTTTTTGTATATGTGTGTGTGTGTGTGTATATATATATATATATATATATATATACACACACACACACACACACACATACATACATATGTTTTATTAAATAATATAGACAAGTGTTTATTTATTTTATGTAAATTCTTTTCATTAACATCTGATAAGCTTAATAACATTATCATTAAACAAAGAAAGAAAATCACAATATTGATATATATTTTTTAATCCAGTCTAAGCTTTCAGCTTACATAAGCCATTACCAAAGATGACAATTACTGTACAATATATTAAGCTAAACACGGACAAGAATGTGATGATAGTCTGTTTCTGTTTACATGGATGATTTCCAAGCAACGATAAACACATGCATATAGGACGCTGGAAGCGAAAATCGCACCACACCTCATGACGTCACACATGACCACACGAGAGTAAATTCCAGAAGTATTAAGTATGGGAAGTCGTTGGTATAAACATTATATATATATATATATATATATATATATATATATATATATATATTTTTACTCTTTTTATTTCTTTGTTAATTTGGCAAAGAAAGAAAGCATTCCTTTAATGACAATAATTTTAAAAAAGAAAATTAATCAATTTGTGCCAGCTTGTATACATAAGGGTCAATTTCATAATTTGGCATGAATACATCTGGGCCTGTGATGGCAAAACATCTCATCAATAATTGTCAATGTGCAATATCTTACAATAAGGTTTTGTTTTCAGTCAGTTTTTAAGTTGGTTACATTCAGTTTTAGAAACCATATATAATGTACTCTCCCATCGTATTTAATGTATGAGGGTCTAGCAGCTCAGTTCTTAGAACCAAACAGCCAAACTACCCACACATATGATTTGATTATAGTGGTGATGGCTTGTGCAGAAACAACCCCAACATTTTTAGGACAAACTGAATAATGAGAACTGGTACACAGTGTGCGACAAGGTCTCCAAACAGCTTTTGAATGTTGAGCCATCCTTCTCCTAGATTACCTGCTAACCAAGGCTAGAGAGCACAGTCTGCTTTACTATTTAACCCAGAGCGAAGACAACAGGTGAGGCTGCTTGTCTTGAATTCTCTGATTCTGAAAAATTGATTGCTGAGCACTGATTGACCTATTGTTGTAGAAGTACAAAAAGTCCAATTACTGATTTTGATACAAGTGAATTAATATATCTAACAATAACGCATTTTCATTTAACAATTTATTAAAATTGTGTAAGTCAGTAACTTAAGTCACCTACTGTTCTTCCTTAATTTCAATTTAATGGAATTATGTTTGTTTGAGTGATATTCAAATGATTTTGCTAATCTTGCCAATAGAGTTTCTCAAGTGGCTTTTATAACGTTTTCAAATAAATAGGAAAAGATCAATGCTGTCCTATTTACTGGCAAACTAGAAAAATTCAACAAGCTGTCAAATCAAGCTTAACTTGCCGAGACAATGACATTACTTGAATGAACAGAGACAACAGTTTCCATTGTTTTGATCAGCCAAAAGACCTCACAATGTTCTATCAGGATTGATTGTATGGCAAATTACAAAAGCTTGGTAGGAGATACTTTATACTTACTAAAACGTGCCAATGACGGTAGACTAAGGATTGTTGTTGTAAGATATGCTAAATAAGAGAGAGCTAACTAATATTTAAATGAATGCTTCACACCATCTTACAGACTGCCTTAACAAGTGAGGCTGTATCGACAAAGCTACAGGTCACTATTAGTAATTATTAACCCAGAGTAGAGTTTCTAAATCATGGTTCAACTATCATCAGGTTGATACTACTTCCCGGTCTTTTCACCATCCCTCAAAATGTAAACACAAATAGACTTGTCTAATTCTTTTTTTTTTTGAACCAGCTATACAAGAAATATAAATTTTAACATTGCAATCATTTATCTACAGGGAAAATGATATATAATTTTTTATATATATCAAGAACAATTTTAGGGAAAAAAAAAAAAAAAACTGACAAAGGGGAAATATTTTTCGTGTGATGCATTGCAGTCCACTGAAATGCTAAAAGTACTAACACATAACACAAAAACTTTTTTCCACTTTGTCATAGTTTTATTTTTCCCTAGGTTCACCTAATGTCTGGTTCACACTCCTCCCCGGTCTTTTGAAAAGGGAATAGATTGGGTTTCCGGATCCTTCTAAAGCATTTTCATTTCCCAAGTAGCCTCTTGCATACTAATGACATTATTGCCTTGCTTGATGTGGATTGTGGATTGATTAAAAAAAAAAAAAAAAAAAAAAAGTAACAAAAAAGTACCCCCCCCAAAAAAAAAAAATTTACTACAGCATATTAGTGTTCCACAAGGTCAAATTTGGTGCATCCCAAAACAGCAAGATTATACAGGGTGCAGCAGAAATACTTCCCATATAATAGTAAGATATTAGCTAGATAGAGAGACTATTCCCACTAATGTCATACCATTATGTTGAAAGTATTTCTAGGGGATATATGAGGGAGGTATTTCTGCCACACACATTCAACTAATGGGAGAAGACACTTCGTTCCATGTACAGTGTTGTTAATATAGTCAATTGGTAAATAGGATTGTACCTATTTGCATATGTTAGAAGAGATATAAAGTCTCTAGTAAAATAAGAGACAGGCAAAAGTTGACTACTGATCATGGTTAGTAGGACAACACAATGCAACAGTTAAGTTGGAGGCTGGGTAACATATACATGAAGACAGTCTCAGTAGAGCATATGGAGTCTAATGAGTCCACAGGTTCATAGTTGGCAATGAGAGTGCCAAAATATTTTTAAATGTTCTAAAGTGTGCTTAAGAAAATTTGGAAACTACTGACCTAGAAAATAGTCAACTGCAAAAATTAAGAGAGAGTACAGTAACATGCAAATTTTTAGGACACCAGATGGCAGCCATATTGGATTAAGAGCTGATATGGGAGAATATATTTAACACAATATTATTTTTAAACGCACACAGAGAGAGAGAGAGAGAGAGAAAGAGATCTTTCTTACATTTTCTGAAATGAGAAAAAAAAAAATCCCAAAAACAAATGATGGTCAAAGTAACTGAATACTAAGCAAAAAGTTCAATATTTACGAGGTGATACTAGAAGGTTTGTGGGATAGGAACAGTGTGTACAAACTGAATATTATAAGAATTTCTTCACCTAGTGTACTGAATTACAAGTGGAATGTGGATTAGGGTAAATCATACTTTCTTTTTTAAAATGGTCAAATCTTCTGTACTTTTGTCCTATTTGCATGTTACTCTTGCCTTAATTTTTGCAGAGAAGAAATTACCAAAAAACACTTTAGAACATTTAAAAAGTCATTTAATGAACCAAATTTGAGCACCTTGCCTAAGAGAGAAGAATGAAAAAAAAACACAGATTTTTAGTCATTTAATCAAAAAATATTTTTTTTAATAAAACTTTTAATAAAATTATATACAAAATTTAATCAAAGATTAATCTCACTACATCTTCAGTGTTTCCTCTTACAGTATAATTTTAACCAACTAGAAAGACCTGTAAAAATTTCATAGTTTTCCTATTTTAATTTTCTGAAGAACTGTAATTCTTTAGTTAATGATTAAATAAGCTTATAGCCTGTTCTATGACAATAAAATATCTGTAAAAATTCCCTTTTCACATCATTAAATATTTGAGCTTAATAGCTTGCAATAATAATCATAGATAAGAATGCTTGTCATTATTTTAAGAAGTGGGTACAAATGAAAAAATTTGAAATTGACAACTTTTTTCATTTCACTGAAACAGCGATTAAACAAATCTTCCCTTCTTTCTTTCTTTCCTTCATTCATTTATTTTCACACTGAAACAAAATAGTGTATGTCTTGTTTTTCTATGCAATCAAAACAGAAGAATCCATTATTTCTGAGGTATTGGCAGGAGACAAATACATCTACCTTTCTTTCTAGACAAGTCCCTGTCTTATAAACATTTTTCTTAATAATTTAAAAAATTAATTCAAGAGAGAGTGTTATTTTATTTATGGTAAATGGATTTTTTTGGCAATGGCCTTGTTTTCTGTCGTTCAATAATGTGCATTTGAAAAATGGTACTTTTATCAGTCACCATCACAGACATTGGCCCTGGTACATGCACTCAGGCTGCCCACATTAAACTGACCTTGTGTCACATCCTGCCAATGTGGGGCTGTAACAAAATACAATCATTTCACAGCCTTTTGGCTCAGATCAAAGTGTAGTATCTGTTTTGGTCCACTTAATACGATTCTCTCTCCCCACTTCTATCTTCTCTTCTTTCTTTTTTTTTCTTTCATTTTCTTACTGAAACCAGATAGTGTCTTTTCTCCTCTTTCCACGTAATCAAAACAGAATAGTCCATTATTTATGAGATATTGACAGGGCACAATGGTTGTGCAAACTAACGAAGGGAGGGACACGCACAAATATAATAGGCTGTTTATATTGTTGCTCCCTCTACTCACATATATATATATATATATATATATATATATATATATATATATATATATATATAGTGTAACCTGGATATAAGAGAGTTGTCGGGACCAGAGAAGAAGTCTCTTATATCCGGGTTTGGTCTATTTTATATACATTAACACAGGCTCTAATTTGGGACCAGAGAAAATCTCTCTTATATCCGGATTACACTGTGTGTGTGTGTGTGTATATATATATATATATATATATATATATCTCCATCAATAAGAACGATATCTTATTTTGGTGAAGTCCTTTTGAAGGACGAAATGCATGACATAGAATCTTTCCACAGTTACCCACCATTAGTCTGACATATAAAGTTTATATACCATATTTCTTATAGATCATTTAGAAATTTTCTGTTTATGAAGCAGCAGAGTTTTTTCTTAAATGATTTTTAAAACTGATTGTGCTGATGACATTTTATTATTATTATTCACAGATTCGTATTTTCTGCCAATATTCAGTTTCTGTGAAAACTGCCAAATACAAAGTAATATTTTTTTTTTAATTGTTACACTCATAAAAAGTTTTTAAAATGTATTACCGTTTCATGTCATCAATTTCTTTGCTAATCATATCTAGTTCTTTAATAGCAGAAAAGTCAGCTACATGACTGTAAGGGCCAGAATTGGTACCATCCTAAAAAAGAAAAAAAAAATGGAAACAAAGAAAAATTAATTTCATTAAAAAAGGAAAATTTTTCAATCAATTACATGTGTAAATACAGGTCTTAGACAAATAAAAAAAAGCTGTGATATATTTAAAAATTACATAAACAAAATTTCTTTTTCCTTTAAACTGGACTGAATTTAAAAAAAAAATAAAATAAAAAGCATACATTATAAAATAGAGAAAACACAATGAATGAGATCAGAATCAGATATTAAAAAGACAAATATCGAAGTCAAAAATACAAAATTCTCTAAAAACAAATTTCAAATGTATTAATCTTTAACAGACAGCATTAAAATCTGACAAGTCTTACAATATACCTTCCCCTGCCCTCACTGAAGTTTTAAATATGTACTAGTTCTTTCTCAACAGAATTTTAGTAAAATTTAAAGAAAATGAACACTTCACAGAATCCAATTAACCCAAATTATTTTATACCAATTTCCTTGTCACTCCAAATCTGCTTAACTTTAATATTAGCAGCAGTGCTCCAAAGCTCTTGGGCCAGCCTAGTTAGCAAAATCGGTATTTCAATGACCAAAAATCAGAATACTGATTTTCAAAAGAAAGCAGAACCAAAAGGCTTTTGACATACACGTGTGTGTGTGTATATATATATATATATATATATATATATATATGAGAGAGAGAGAATTCTGATCAAATATGAATCAGAATGTAACAGAATAAAGAAAACATTTATCAATCTAACATGTTTAACTTTTTTTAAAGCCTCAGAGAAATTTTCTGATGAAGCTTTAATAAAAGTGAAACATCTTAGATTGACAAATATTTCCTATTTGTTCTTTATTATATATATATATATATATATATATGTTTATATGTTTGGGAAGGCATTTTAAGCAGGCAGGATTTTTGTCTTAAGGTGCTCAATATCAAGAAATGAGGATAGAGCGTTAATATAATTAATGTGGAGAAACTTCTCACTTAACTGAGTGTTGTTATTTTAGTCATGCCAACTTCGAAGTAGACATTGACGTCAACATACAGCAGCAACAGTTTGTTTCATGCTTATATGCACTTGTCAGGACATGTGCTGTTTTTACTTATCAGAGGTGCACTGTGGATAGTCTATTGTATTATTCTAACAGTTGATTCAGTGGTTAGTAATGCTCTATCCCTAATATTGAGCACTTTAACCCAGAAATATAGCATATCTTAAAACTAGATGGATGGATTGCTGGCCACTTGTATCTGAGGATGCCCATCTACTAGGGCGATGCGCTAATCTCTGTTGCAGACACCAGCTCAGGCCCATTTGTTTATACTGCAACTATGCTGAGTGGGCCTTAGTTACAGTTTCTCAGAGAGAGCACATCATCTAGCATGATCAACAGTCTGAACAAAGCCAGCACACTTAAACTGTCACGATTACTTGTGACTTCATGCTAGCACAACCATTAACAGATTGCAAAGGGTTCTGTCTACCCAATTTCCCTCACAAGGCATAGGTCAACCCATAGTTTGGCTTTCAGTCACTTTACAAAGGTACCGCATGCTGAAATCGCCACCTCCAGACTGATAACATCAAGATCAACTTCCTGTTCTAACCACTTGGCCATATGCCCATATAGACTAAAACTATATATATATATATATATATACACACACATACACACACACACACACTTTCTGTTCATGTACATAATATTGCATGTACTCAATACCTTATACAATAGGACATGTTCATTTTACAGACACCTCCCACACACACATTTTTTTTTTCTTTTTAACTCAAAATTTTTGCCAGTCATTTCATGGTCTATTGTTATCTCATTTAAATTACTATTGTACAAATAAGCTGTATTATTATTTATAGTCTTAATTTATCCCAACTCAGTGTGTTCCTGAAGAGGCACGTAACAATCAGTTTAATTGCCTACCCTATCTATGGTAAATGGTCTCTCATTCCAAACTCCAAAAGATTTCAAATTCCAAAAATTGCCTGGTCTCAAATATTTTGCATAAGAATTTGCATACCTGTAAAAACCCAGCATTACATTTAAATTTTACATAGGCATTTTCTTTTGTCTTTACTGGCCATTTCAGAAAAACTGTTTCCTTATAAGCAAAATAACAGATACTATTTTTTTTTCTGTTTCCCAAGAATTTGTAATGCAGGTTTAAAATAAATTCCAGACAGGTTTTGACTCACTTTCCCATGCTGATCGTATTTCAGCTTTGTCCACTGCTTAAAGTTTATTTGCTAAAAATGAATTAACCCTATGATGTGATACAAAAACATCTTTTTTAACAAGATATCAATTCATTTAATTCTTAGAAGTTTGTTTCCGTTTTGCTTTCTTTTTAAACATGAGATGGATTGGATTTTAGAAAAAAAACTGTTCCACATAAGTAAACATTAGAAACCAGAATCAGACAAAAATCAATGAAAATGAGGCACAGAGTATAAAACTGAAATGGCATAGAATGCAAGTTGTCGCTTAGAAATATTTGTTATACCAAATGCTTGTTCAGAGCCATTAACCAAAATGCTATATTGTCAGAATACCATTTATATACTACATTCCCTATAATACTACAACTTTTTAGTAACATTTAGATTATTTAATATTAAAGACAGATTAATGAAAGAACAAGTTGAAATGTGATTAGGGTCCCTTAGCTGAGTACAAATGCTGAAAAACAAACATGAAAAATGCTATATGCTAGCATATATATAGCATATATATTTTTTTTTTCATTCGATTTTGAAAATATGTATTTCTTTTCAAATGATAGCACTCCCAGACAACTTATCACACATGCACAGAATCTTCCCGTCTTGGTCAGCAAAAATAAAGAAAATATTATTAAAAGAGACATCTTAAAATTTATATATTAAAAAAAATTGCTTGCCATAAAGTGATGGATGAAAAATATAACACACACACAACAAAAAAAAAGAGAGAGAGAGAGAGAGAGAGAGGAGGTAATTGCTTTCTTTTCATTATATGTTTCAAACTACCACATAGGGAGTCATTTTTCTTTTCCCTTCCTCCAACTTTCATCTATATAGTTGCATATATATTTACATATACTTTTAAAATATATGTTTTTAGAGTTCTAAATAAATTTTGTGAACCATCCTACAGATTATATATAAAAAAACATATTGTTAAATATAACAATGAACGTCTATTATGTACATTATTTGGACTATTGTCCTCATCTTCTTCGCCATATCTATCACAACGTTTCGGCTATTGTACACTCCGGCCTTCAGGTGGTTGGAATGTCAAACTGAACCCTTTATTTCATTCACTGTTCTAGTTCCACGTGCCATGTTTGACGAATGTCAGTTATCAGTTACCTCCTGTTAATTTCCCTCTGAAAGTTCTCCACTGGGTATTGAACTCACACTCTTTGGGTCCTGTCACTGGATCTAACCAATGCCTTTATCCACTGTGCCATGAGGACATCTGGGTATGAATTTCTGGGTATTATAAACCTAATGTCTTCAGCAACCATTTTTACCAGTGCTAATATTGCAATTTTGCTGTTATCATTGCATGTTTTTACCAGAGCTCATATTGCAACTATGTTGCTATCATTGCTTTTCTCTGGCACTCCTTATTACTGGTTCCCATATTGTATTTATTTTTATGCTTGGTCAGCTCTGGAGATTTTTGTGGCCTAGCATATGTGCTGAAATAAATACAATATGGGAACCAGTAATAAGGAGTAACAGAGAAAAGCAATGATGACAACATAGTTGCAATATGAGCACTGGTAAAAATGGTTGCTGAAGATATTAGGTTTATAATACCCAGAAATTCATACCCAGATGTCCTCAAGGACACATGGCAAAGTGGATAAAGGTGTTGGTTTGATCCAGTGACAGGACCCAAAAACCTGGTTATGGCAGTGGAGAACTTTCAGCGGGAAATTAACAGGAGATAACTGTTAACTGACATCCGTCAAACATGGCACGTAGAACTAGAACAGTCTACCCCAGTGAGCAAAATAAAGGGTTCAGTTCAACATTCCAACCACCTGAAGAAGGCTGGGGTGTACAACGGCCGAAACATTGTGATAGATATGGCGAAGAAGATGAGGACAATAGTCCGATTAATGTAAATAATGTACATAATACCTCATCTCAGAAATATAGACAGACTCTGAATGTCTATTATGTCTGATCATGAGCCGTTCTAATGTTCATATGTTTGCTTTAATTTCAGGTGAAAATAAAGACAATATTTTGATATTTTTTTTTAAAGTTGGTCCTTGATCTAAGCTTTCACATGTCTGTATAATCATTCTGAAGAAGGCTCATGTGAGCCGAAAGCTTAGATCAAGGACAAACTTAATAAAAAAAATATCCAAATGTTGGACAATTCTTGTTTATTTTCACCTGAAATTAAAGCAAACATACAAATGGCTCATGATCAGACATAATAGATACTAGCAGTAGAGCCTGGCGTTGCCCGGGGATATAACAGTAAGAGATAGATCAAGTATCGACCATCATAAAGACTGAAAAATAAAATTGACAAAGATTATTGTTTAAGGTTGACGGACACGCATGTCTTAATTAGTTTTTTTTTTTGTTTGTTTTGGGTTTTTTTACGAATTGGTCAAACCCAAACTAAAACAAAAACATTGTTTTTAATCGTTATGAGTCTACCGATTGAATAGAATTTTATTATAAACAATTGTCTTGTAAATGGAATTTTTAAAGCATTCTGAATGTAAAAATAAAGAAAAAAGTGTGCAAGACAATAAGAAACACTACCTGCTAAAAAAAAAAAAGTGAAGTTTTGTTGAAATCGGTTGAAAAATGTAGGAAATCTGATCCCATATATAAACGAACACACACACACAAACAACCTGGGTTTTACAATAAGTATAACTCGATATGAGTTGTCCCCTTTCATTCT